TAGCTTCCTCTAACATTAACACCTTACATAAGCATAGCACAACTATCAAAACCAGGAAATTTACAATAATACAATACTATTAATTTACCACCTTATTTGAGTTTTGCTTGTTTTTATACTAATGTTTTTCTGTTGCATAATCTAATCCATTACCCTATATTGCATTTATTTGTCATAGCTCCTCTCTTTTTTCTAATGTGTCAGAGTCTCTTAATCTTCCTTTGTCTTTCAATGACCTTGACATTTTGAGAATACAGGTCAGTTATTTTGTAAAATGCCCCTCAGTTTTTTGAGATACTTTGAAACTATGCTAACTTCCCATTTTTCATGTGATGATTTCATAATATCAATAACTAATAATACTAACACTATATAGCATATATGTGTTTGGCACTATTATGAGCACTTTACATGTAATAACTTATTTAATTCCCAAAACAGCTATAGTTGTAGGGAAGTGTGCCATAAAGCCAGGATAGTGACACCCAACATTTATATGCACAAACATATACATATAAATGCACATATACACAGGCACATATATATCCATGTTTTCAAACTCTTTAAGGAATTTCAAACTAGCGCCTTTTTAGACTTTATCATACCAAACATAAGGACTCTTGAGCTTATTCAAATCCTTCGGCCCTTTGCTTCTCTTACATCATTTTTTTTATTATTAACTAGAGGCCCGGTGCACGAGATTTGTGCATGGGGAGAGGTGTCCCTCAGCCTAGCCTGCACCCTCTCCAGTCTGGGACATCCCTCTCACAATCCGGGACCACTGGCTCCCAACCGCTCGCCTGCCTGCCTGCCTGATTGCCCCCTAACCACTCCCCTGCTGGCCTGATTGATGCCTAACTGCTCCCCTGCTGGCCCGATTGCCCCCAACTTCCCTCCTCTGCCGGCCTGGTCCCCCCCAACTGGCCACCCCTGCAGGCCTGGTTCCCCCCAACTGTCCTCCCTTGCCGACCTGGTCCCTCCCAACTGCCCTCCCCTGCTGGCCTGATCGCCCACAACTGCCCTCCCCTGCTGGCCATCTTGTGTCCATATGGGGGTGGCCATCTTGTGTGTTGGAGTGATGGTCAATTTGCATATTACTCTTTATTAGATAGGATTGTGCTGAGTTTGGGGAAAGCTTCAAAAACTATCTACAAAGTATAAAACTACTGTACATATAAAAGAGCCCCCATCTTTTTCATCAAACAGTATATATTTCTGAAATTAATCTCAGATTACCAATATTCTTTCCTTTTTCAGTCTGGATTATCTTCAATTTAAATTTTCCTTGTACTTTGGCTCAGGCTCTTTAATCTTCAAAGATTTATACTTTCGCACTCCCAAGGACATGCTCCTCCATCAGGTTTAATGTGAATGTTAAGGGGAATTATGTTTTGTTGATCAGGGTCTATTTTTAGTGTGCTGCAGACCATTCCTGGGATCATATTTCTCTTACTTGGGGCCTTAGCAATGCACAAAGGCAATTTGAAATGAGAAACTAAAATGTACCCATTTGCATACTAAATGTACAATGTTGTCTATATTGTATGCCCCATACATCAAAAGGTTTCGGGTTCAATTCCCGGCCAGGGCACATACCTGTATTGCGGGTTCAATTCCCAATCAGGGTGTGTGTGCAAGGCAGCCAATCTATGTTTCTCACATCGAGTTTCTCTCCCTCTCTCTCTAAAATTAGAAGAGAGGGAGGAAGGGAGGGAGGGAAGAAGTAACTGGTCTAAAAGGCCAATTTAAATTAGCTGGATTATACCTGGCAGTAGTCCCAGGCCCACCTTAATTCCCTGATCCATGAAGAAGTCACCAGCATTGCTGGCCAGCAGTCATATGTGTGAGATGAGACCTGACCATTGAGTTGTTTATGTCCTTCCCTGAGACGCTACTTGGGGGAGCATCATCTCCTTTGTACCTGTGAGGAAAACACTTTTAGAGTTAATATCCATCAGGGCTTACTGTGTACCAGGTCCCCCTCTAACTCTAGATGGGTTATCTCATATGTTTCTCCTGAAGGAAATACACCAACATGCCCATACTGGCTCTTGTGTTTTTCAGGGCATATATTTCTTTTCTTTATTTCCCATAGATTATATTACTTTGCAGTGGAAAGAAATGCAAAGAGCACAATTATTGGAAAGTAATAAAGACTGACAAAATGCTTTGCAATTTTTTAAAAAAATATATTTTATTGATTTTTTACAGAGAGGAAGGGAGAGAGATAGAGAGTTAGAAACATCGATGAGAGAGAAACATCGATGAGAGAGAAACATCGATCAGCTGCCTCCTGCACATCTCCCACTGGGGATGTGCCCGCAACCCAGGTACATGCCCTTGACCGGAATCGAACCTGGGACCTTTCAGTCCACAGGCCGACGCTCTATCCACTGAGCCAAACTGGTTTCGGCATGCTTTGCAATTTTTAAGCATTTTCCACATGACCTTATGTGTTTAATACTTCCAGAAACCATATGGCACACTTATTTTACCATTGAATTATTTCAGTTGAAAATGTAAAGTCAGCTTATTTGCCTGAGGTCACACAGCTACTAAAGAACTGAGCCAGAACTTAAACTCAGGACCTCAGACTCTCTGCACCAAATTCCCCTTCTCAGAGGCTCTAACTTTGGCTGCATCCTGGAAAGCCACCCCTCACCAGATTTGAAAGATAGCCTCTTCCCATCGGTGAGGGTTGACTTTCTCTGTTCTTAAAGTTAATCTTGCTTGACTGGCAGCCATGTATCACATATTTTCTCCCAAACAGCTCTTTCTCCAGGATTAATAAAAAATGTGGCGATTTCCAGAGTGAGCTGCATCAAACCTCTCCATGGAAGACAGAGAGCTCCCTGTGTAGGAAGGCCGAGTACAGGGTTATTTCCTTGGTGTCCTTGGAAGATGTCTACAGGCTTTGACCTTGTCTGAATAATGGGAAGAAATTTTCAGATTTATACACTTTTTATACAGAGATTTATACAGTCCTCAGAGCCCTTAGGCTTACAACAAGGTTTCCTACCTTATGTTTAATAGTACTTTACAGTGTTGGCCACTGTCCCACATCAGCAGCTAGATGAATCTTCACAACAACCCTCTAAGGCAGACCACAAAGGGGTTTTCTGTTTCAGAGATGGTCACAGTGAGGTCGCACACACTGGCGGTGGCAGTGCTGTGCTGCCCATCCCCCTCAGGCCCAGACCCCTTTCCTTTTTGCCTCCCCAGGATTCTTATCCATGCCATTGATTATGTGGCTCTATGGCCTTTTACTCTTCAGTAGTCTGATTTAATTGTGAATTTTATTTTAAGAAAGAAAACTCAGATTTCTTCTGCTTCATCTTCTTGCTCTATTCACAATGAATTCTGCAGGTCAGTTTATCCTCAGCAGTGGTGAGCCAGAATTTCAGCAAAGCTTCTACTTAGCTGGTGCATTCACATGTCAAATATTTAATTCAGCTGTCAGCTTCTTTGCATTACTGTGCTTTCGTTAATACATGTATTTTGATGGCCTCACATTAATCCAGCCTGTTTGAGAAGGGAAAAACACCAAATGTGATTTACAGAGGAGTCAGCTTCTTCACAGACACTGAAAGAATTGTTATCTTACACTTGTTTTAATCAGAATATGTGAAAATTAGTCATGTTATTAGTTCTTTTAAAAGAAAACAAAGAATAAGCTTAGATCAGCGGTTCTCAACCTGTGGGTCGCGACCCCTTTGGCGGTCGAACGACCCTTTCACAGGGGTCACCTAAGACCATCCTGCATATTAGATATTTACATTACGATTCATAACAGTAGCAACATTACAGTTATGAAGTAGCAACGAAAATAATTTTATGGTTGGGTCACAACATGAGGAACTGTATTTAAAGGGCCAGAAGGTTGAGAACCACTGGCTTAGATCCATTAGTTGCTTTAAGAACACCTGCTATGTGCCAGATGTTCTAGGCACTAGGAATGCAGCTGTCAACAAGGCAGACAATATACTTGCCTTCAGAAAGTGTCTGTTCTAGAGAGCAGGTAGATGGACATGTCGGGTAGTGCTGGGGCTATGGGAAAGGCTGGGCCGGGAAGTGGACAGAGCCCTGGGGATGTGGGTGGTCAGAAAGGTCTACCAGGGGTGGGCAAACTTTTTGACTCGAGGGCCACAATGGGTTCTTAAACTGGACCGGAGGGCCGGAACAAAAGCATGGATGGAGTGTTTGTGTGAACTAATATAAATTCAAAGTAAACATCATTACATAAAAGGGTACGGTCTTTTTTTTTTTTTTTTTTTTTTTTTTAGTTTTATTCATTTCAAACGGGCCGGATCTGGCCCTCGGGCCGTAGTTTGCCCACGGCTGGTCTAACCTCTGTCACATCTTATCTACACTATGGCATAGGAATCTGATTTCCATCAACTTTTTTCCTGGTAAGTTTTAGCTTCAGAATAAAGTATGCTTGACTTTGTACTTAGTGAGAAGTCAGCTTATAGTCATTATCCTTGTTCAGTGGCATTCTTCAGAGGATATTTGGGACTACTACTTCAGCAAGTCTATATTTATACTTTTTATACATTGGAAGTCCTACTGCTTAAAAAAAAGGAGCCACTTTTTAAAAAGAAAACAAAAGGAAAAGAGAAAAATGGTTTAAGAATTATTTGTTAGAATCTCGTTTTTGTGTGTTTCATGTATTTTCTTTTTTTTTTTCTAAAATGATGGTATTTGCTCCATAACTTTGGGGCAACCTTAACATTATTTTGTATTTCACTCCTTTAAACACTGGGAAAAAAATATGTTTCTTACCAATCCACTCTCTAGGAGCCCTAGAAAATCGCCAAGGCTGGCCACCACCAAAACCCCTCCCTCACCTGAGGTCTTCTCTCAGGAGCAAAAATGCACGGCTGGTTCTCAGAGGACTAAACCAGCCAGCATTGCTTTTCTGTTCTAGGAGGTGCAGATGGTGCTTGGGACTTCAGGGGACTCCTTCTGCGGGATACAACATGTTTTCCTTTTCTCTATAGGTGGCAGCACAAAGACAGAAAAGGAACAAGTGACAGCAAGTTCACTCAAGGCTCGGCTGCTTCGCGTGTAATTTAAGACTCTCCCAAAGGGCTACAGCTTTTACTTCTGCACTTTCTAGAAAATCACCAGATGCCAAACGTGTACATTAAAGACCTAACCACAAATGCTCTATTTCTTTGATCAACTGCATGGTTAGGTAGGCAGTGGCACTCTCAGAGTGTGAGCCTGTCTGTAATCTTAGAAATTTAAGCCACATCACCCCTCTGCCCCAGACCTGTCCCATAAAGGTGTGGATTTTTACAGTACAGTACTTCAGACTTCAAAATATTGGGAGAAGAAGGCTTATTGTGAAATTCAGGTCATTTCTTAAGCCTGACCACCTTGGCCTGTTCTGCTTTCTTGGGCTTAGGCGAGCATGTGGTGGATGTGTGGTGACCATGTGTGACCATGCATACCTGGTGATTGTAAGTGCTAGATTCTATACTAAAAGCTTTGATGAACTGATTTTCTATCCTTATTTTTTTAAATGGCTGCTTGTAATTCATAACAATACCTGAACATGTGCATTTTATTACCTGCTGGAGTTATAAACATTGCTTCATTTTTAAAAGATTTATCCAATATGTGTATTATTACTTTTTAGAGTGAGGGCATAAGATATGGGGGAAAGTTGGAAGTAGATACCAAAAAGTAATTTAGTGTGGGGAGTTCTGACACATAGTGAACATGTATTAGGGGGTAGTGGGGGGTGGGGGTTGTGCAAACATGTTCAGGGGTTTGAGCTGGCTCATCCACTTGACATGCAAGAGGAATGGAGTAGAAGCCGTGCCGGTGATCGTCCTGCATTCAAACGGGATCCCAAACCTCTTCTTCAGGAAATAATTTTTGTTTCTGATTATTCACACCATCAGGTGGTAGAACCTGGTTCTGGAAAGTACTCTGTAGTTTTTTTACACACCTCCTTTCACACATAGAAATTTTTAATCTGGAGGGACTTTTAACATTCCGTGCTTCTATAGTTGATAAGTGAATTCTCCTCTCTGAAAACCCAATTCTAGGAAATCAGTTGTGGAATTCAGGATATATTACAGGCTTTCAAGAGGGAGCGCTCCCCAGAAATTACCTGTTTCAAATCCAGGCCATTTGCGTATCAAAAGCCTGACACATAGTTCTATATACAGATGTGGAGTTAAAATGTGGCTTGTTCTGTCTTCACCTTGCACAGTCCCAAACACTGCCCTTGCAGGTGTCTGTATATTTTGGCCCAAAGCAACTGCCAACACTGGAGTTTTCCTGCTCAGTATGTGGTGTGTCCGTAAGCAAATTGGTCAGCCTCTCAGGACCACATCTCAGGCAAGAGAGCTGCTAGTGTGATAGCTGTCCCTTATCTCCCTCCTCCAGGAGGACTTAACTCTGGGAAACCCCGGTGTGACACCATGCTCCCACATGTTTGAGGCTCCCCCAGTTTGAGGAGGGCTTGCTGGGACAGTCCTGCATCTTCTACAGGCTCCATTTATCAACGATGTCAGCCCTCTGCCTGCCTCTCTCTAATGTTAGGATTCTCCCATGATAAACACGTACTACTATTATGTTAATACAGAAAAATAGTTAATTTATGTCATTAGTTTTTCTCAAAATTATAATTTAAAAAAGTCTTACTTCTCATTTAGTAAGTTTCTTAGAGGAAGAATCTATGTTTTACTGTTCTGTGCTTGGTATTCAAGCAGATGCTGACCAAGTACTACCAGTAATCAAGTAATTGTTCTTCTGTCCTCAGACACTTAAAGGTTCCAGACCCCTGCTGTTGATTCCTTGACTTCCCTTTCCTGGTCAAAAATATGTGTTTTGCTTTAAATTGTGTGTGTTTGACATGAGTATAAATGGTGAAGTTAATTAATTTTGCTTTGAAGATTTACTAAGAGCCTTAGAGATCATTGCAAATGCTCTGGGGTATTTCACCACCATACCTGAGAAGTACTGTTCCTATAAAACTCAGGTGAGACAAAAAGCAGGACTGAAGGAAGAGAGCAGGAAATAAAGTTTCACATTTGTTACTATGCAGCCTTTGCTGTTGTTTTTTTTTCTAGCAGATAGTGACCAAACTGTTCAACTTTATAACAATAACTGAGTCGCCATGCACACATGCACACGCACGCACACACACATACCCAGCTTCCCGTGAAACCTGTCAGTGGTTCCTCCTGCTCTCGGCTGAAGTCTCCTCCTCCCCATGATCTCTGTGCCGGGCCACGTGGAGCTCCAGCCCTCCTCTCTGTTAGAGCCACACTACTTTTTAGGTCCTCGCTGCACCCTGCCTACTCTGGCTACATGGCCTTTATTTACTTATTTTTTCCTATAATAAGCCTTTTTATGTTATAATAGTTTTAGCGTTACAGAAAAATTGGGAACACGAGTTCCCATATACTCTGTAACCAGTTTCCCCTATTATTAACATCTTACATTAGTGTGGTACTTTTGTTACCACATCACATTCAGGATATATTACACTTAATCCTCATGTCTCCTTAGGCTCCTCTAGGCTGTGACAGTTTCTCACACTTGCCTTTTTTTTTAATCTTTATTGTTGAAAGTATTACATAAATCTCCTTTTTCCCCACATTGACTTCTAGCCCACCCCCACCCCTCACCCCAGGCATTCACCACCCTACTGTGTGTGTGGATGGATTGTGCATATATGCATACAAGTTCATTTGTTGATCTCTTCCCACTGACCCTCCCCTGCCTTCCCTCTGAGATTCCAGTCTGTTCCATGCTTCTATGTCTCTGGATCTATTTTTGTTCATCAGTTTATTTTGTTCATTAGATTCCACATATGAGCGAGATCATGTGATACTTGTCTTTCTCTGACTGGCTTATGGCTGTTAGACTGTGCTGTTCTTCAAGCCCCTCACTGATTCCCTATGCCCTGCTCTTCCCTCACCTCTCATCTTCCCTGGTCCACCATCTGGAAGCCTTAGCGAGACTCCCCTGAAATTCACAGCCAGGGCAGACCTTCCTGTGTGAGCTGTCCTGGCACCCTGCACCTCTCTTCCTGAAACGGTCACAGAGACATGTCTATGTCTGCAGGGATAGTGATTGGATGAAAGTTTCTCTCCCCAGTTTCACAGAGCAGAGCTTCAAAAAGGCAGAGACCATTTCAGCTTACCATTCGTGCAGAAGAGTTAACACAGCGGGGCTGAGACGGCTGTCATTGCCTGCTTGCAAGGTTGGCCCTTGGCTTGAGAACTTGGCTGGTGAACAGCTCTTTACACTGATATGATCTGAGTGGCCCACTGTGTCTAAGCTGCTTATACAAACAATGTGGTTTATGCTGAACACCTGCTTTCCTTCTGGGATCTGGACATTTGGAACGCGCTAGGCAGAGGGTGCTAGTGTGACCAGGCCTCAGTGAAAACCTTAGGCTGGAGTCTCGAATGGGCCCTGGGCAGAAACACTGCATGCAGGTTGCTGCACTTTGCTGCTGGGGTGCACTCTGTGACCCTCACAGGAGGAGGGAGCGTGAGGAAGCTTGTGCATGATTCCTCCAGACTCCACTGGTGTCTTTTTCTCTTATGATTTGACTGTGTATCCTTACTACATACACCACTGTAGTAAATCTTAGCTGTTAATACAACTATGTGCCAAATCCCACAGACTCCTTAGAGCAGACATTCAAGCATGGGAGTGGTCTTGGGGACCCTCACTGCACCATCATATCCCCAGAACCTTGTACAGTATTTGACCTTTAATAAGTGGTTCATTACCTATCTGTTGAAATGAAAATGAAAATGACCTGAGGACTAAGGCTAAATATGTCCTGTGGAAATTCTCAACAGAACTAAGAAATACTATTATTTATCAACTACATCCTAATGACCCAAATAAAGAATATACATACTTCTGAAAAAGGCAGAATTTAAAAAAAAAAAGTAAGGAAATCTAGTAGGTCAAAGCCTATCAGAATTTTTTTCACGAAGATGAATCTGTATCTGGGCTGGGGGAGGGGTGGAGAGATGGCAGGACCTTCACTCTCCCATAGGAGGTTGTCCTGGCTTTCCTGCCCACCCCTCGCCCACCCCACCACCCTGCAGTGTTGGCCAGTTCCATGTATAGTGACACCCAGTATTCAGAGCAGTGAGTGCTTCTCCACTTTGGTGGCACATTGGGAATCACCTGGAAGGTTGTTTTTGTTTTTTGAAATATTGTTGAACGTATTACCGATTTCCCCCTTCTTCCCCCCCCATTGATCCCCTCCTCTTGGCTCCCCTCACCACACTATTGTGATGCCAGGCCTCAGCCCTAGAGATTCTGATATAATTAGTCTGGGCACAGGGATTTCATTGTGTAGTCCCTGCTGACACCCCCACCCACCATCCCTCCAGCACCGTCCAATCCCTGCCTTTGACAATCATATTTCACAGGCTTCCACTCTGGTTTCCTGGCTCACAGCTAGTAGGCAGGCACACTGATAAGAGTAGGAAATAACACCATTTATCTGAACAGTATAAGAAGGAGGCCAATTTCAGAAAGGTCACTGGTAAGAACATCCCTGTGGTGCAGAACAAAGTCATTCTTGAGAATGTTGTTTTTAACGATGACTAGCAGTCTACACCACCACTCAGCCCCGCCCTCCCCACCCCCAATATACACTTCACTTTATATGTAAGATGAAGTTCATTAATTTTATTTTGAATATTTGGTAAGAGCTCATTAGCAGTGATGAAGATGCATCTGTTACCTACTATCTTAGGGATGCTTCCCCCTCCAGTAAATGTGAGCACACCCATTTCCATTTTAACCCTTCTCTAGGGAAGACAGGACTCTGAGATGCATCAGCTGTTAATTGGCAGAGCTGTGATCTATCTTCTTTGTAGCACCTGCATGGCTGCTCAGGGAATCCAGGAGCAGTAGCTAATAATTGGATGAGGTAAGGTTATCTATTTAGTAAATGGAAATGTTTTGTTCTCAAACAGAGTGGAAGAGGAGAGAGAGAGAGAGAGAGAGAGAGAGAGAGAGAGAGAGAGAATAAAGGTTGCCAGGTATAGAAGGGTGGGCTCCATGGAGAAGGTTGGCCTGAGCTGGAATGACTGGGATTTAGACAGGTGTGACCCAAGGGGGTGAAGGGAGTTACCAACGCATGCACCTCCCGTGCACCCCATCTGCCCTACTCAGACCTAGAAGGGAGTAGAACTCAGGAGGAGGCTGGAGAATCTCTTTAGGATATAATTGTACTATTTCTCGGCCTGGTGCTGTGGCCTAAATGTTGCAGTAGAATTCCAAGCTAAATTGTGATTAGAACCTCAGCTCCAAGGAGACTGACTCCACAAAAGCTGACTGAACAGGCCTGCAAGGACTCGGCCTGTCCAGGGGCCCGCGGTTGGCAGGCCCAGGCAGGGAGGAACAAAGTCAGGAGACCTCCTTTACCCAGGTGTGAAGAAAGGCGTCAGCTTTCAAAGCCCATCATGTCCGTTTTTCATTGTTAACAAGCCAACCAGGGGTAATTAATCACTAAGTGGACACTAATCATTTTGCTGCTCGTTTATCTTCCCAGTGAATGCTTTTCAACACAAGTGTTTACACTTCCAAAGGCTAGATGCAGTGATGGCGAACCTATGACACGCGTGTCAGAGGTGACACGCAAACTCATTTTTTGGTTGATTTTTCTTTGTTAAATGGCATTTAAATATATAAAATAAATATCAAAAATATAAGTCTTTGTTTTACTATGGTTGCAAATATCAAAAAATTTCTATATGTGACACGGCACCAGAGTTAAGTTAGGGTTTTTCAAAATGCTGACACGCCGAGCTCAAAAGGTTCGCCATCACTGGTAGAGACTTTTAAAAAGAGTGGTGAGGTTTATGGCTGCAGGAAATGAGCTCCTAGTTTGCCCCGCTGACTCATTCATAAGGCCAAGGAAATTCAGAAAGTAAAATAATTTCTGAGCAAATGTACTTTTAGGAAATGAATTGTTTACCTTTTTTTCTTCTAACACATATGAACGGTTGGTTATCTGCATTGATTTCATTGGTGAAAAATGGAAAATGGTCAAAAGACAGTTCCTTATTTTTTTAAAATTTAAAACTGATTTTGAGAGAGAGAGAGGAAGGAAGAGGGAGAGAGAGAGAGAGAAATTGATGTGAGAATGAAACATTGATTGGCTGCCTCTTGCATGCCCCCCACCGGGGATTGAGCCCAAAATTTGGGCATGTGCCTTGACCAGCAATTGAACTAGCAACCTTTCTGTGCATGGGACAACACCCAACTAACCAAGCTCAGCCAGAGCTTTTTTTTTTTTTCCATTTGGTCTAATTTTTAAATGGATGATTTGCCTAAAATTATTGTATCTAAGTTTTAGTAAATGAATATCCTGTTGTTTAGAGTATAGTTTCCAGAACACTAGCCTGAACAGGCAGAAAATGGTTACATTTACACGGCCTGGATTTGATCATCAGGAGACGAATAGCAGAGTGCATACAATTATTTTGGTTGCTTTCATGATTAGAGACTAAGTCAATAATAGTCAACATTGTAATAACTACCTATGGTGCCAGAGGGTACTTGAAATATCGGGGGGGAGGAGGGTCACTTTGTAAAGCATATGATTGCTAACCACTGTGCTGTACACCAAAAACTAATACAAAATAATATTGAATGTAAACTGTAATTGAAAAATAAACATTTTTTAAAGCCTGGTTTTTAATTAATTGCCAAGGAGATAAGGAAGGCAGGGAAGGGTGGGCCATGGGAACCAGAGTGTTACCACAGCCCCTGCATTTGGGCACCTGGGAGAGTTGCTCTGGGAAAGAACACTGGGCTCCCAAACTAGGAAGACCAGGACTCCAATCCTGACTGTGATCTTGAGTAAGTTATCTAACCCCTCAGGACCTCATGTTCCATGGCTGAAATGGAGCTCACGATACCTGTCTTTCAGGTATATTAACGTATGTAAAGTTCCTAGCACAGGGCCAGATACAAGGTAATTCTCTACAGGTTAGGTCTCCTCTTTCCACTTCAGGGTCTCATACTTCTTTCCCATCCAAGTATCTTTGAGCTA